GGTTCAGAGCCCGTCTACTTCCTTCTTTCTTTAACTGCAAGCGAACTGTATCCTGGCCTCCTCCCTCCCTACCTCTGTACCCTGGGATGGTTCTAACTGACTTCCATACTACCTCCCAGGCTCCATTCTTACCCCTCTGAGGAGGTGCAGGAAGAGGCTTACCCACTCCACACCCCTCCTTCAGAGCACACAACATTTGCCTGGATACATCTTATTGATCTCAGAGGATGCTATCAACACTGCAAGGATTGATGGGATTCCTTACTAGTATTTTCAGAGCAAAGGCAGATATTCCAGAGGCCACGATTGAGTTCTCTATAGTACATGCTTCATTAGGTTTTTCTGGGCCCTCGGAGGAAGGGAGACGTTCCTGCATTTTGAGGAATCATTGTATAACCTTGAGGTTGGAGGTGAGTGAGGAGAGAAGTCCATTAAGTTAATGTACTCCAGCATCCTAGGTACTATGGGTAGGACCTAGGGGTAGTTTGGGGTCTGTTATCCCGAGGCCAATATGTAGAGTCAGATCTCAAGTGGGAAGAGACATGGATGCAGGCAGATGTGACCTGAGTGACTCTGCTTTGGATTCCAGCAGCCACCTTCCATGTGGGAACCCATGAGGGCCCTTGTCTAGGACCCTGGCTGGCAGGGGCAAGCCTTTCAGAGAGATCCTGCTAAGTTGCAAAGTCCAGTGTCAGGGGTTGAGGACTATTACCGTGGAGGGCAGGCGCCCTCCCACCTGTTTTACAGGTTTGAATATCAGTGCAGAGAGAAATGAATTCCTAGGCCCACGTAGTCTAAGACAACTGTGTCGTTTTCTTCAGTCTCACTTCCTCATTTCACTGTATCAAATCCACGCCAGCTGAATGTGGGCAATTACCCAGTGAATTCTATGCAAGTATTCCGTGAACTATACCACTGGGATAGTTTGTATCTGGTACACGGGAACGGTAGCATAGGTGGGGAGTGCAGAGGGCAGCTAAAGGACCAGCTGCCCCACCTCCCACTGTGCTCCTCTCACCAAACAAGTCCTTCCGTAGCAAACAAAGACAAGCTTGGGGAGTTAAGGATGAACACAGTCCCAGAAACCCCACGGGGGTTCACAGTTCAGGGCTGAGCTCCCAAGGAGCTGCTCACCAAGGTATGGACCTCCTGGGGGGGGTGGCCCTACTCCTTGGGGATCCGAGCCATGCAGAAGTGTTGGGGGTTGGTCTGATGCTTGCATTTTTCTAATTACTGGCCCTCACGATCTGGTTACTGCCTAGATAAACCTATCCTTGTGTAAACCTACCTAAAATATTACACTTGATTGGTTGATTAAAGGCCTGAAGCCTGGGCAGGGCAGAATGGGGGAGGCATGGCTAAGGTTCCCCGGCATTGGGTTCAAGAGAATCACAGGAAACAGAGAGATGGGAAGAGAGGAGGCAGGAGGATGCCACGATGGGTTAGCATGGAGAAGAAACCACATGGACTGGGAGGAAGGACTCCAGAGATGGCGTAGATGGAGAAAACACCAAGAAAAAAAAATATATATAAGCAAGTATCTTGGAATTATGGATGGAAGGTAGCTCAGATAAGGGTGGTTAAGGCGGATGGCATTGGATGGGGGCTGGGAGGTAGATGGTGAGGTTGTTGAGACAGCATAGGTAAAATATCTGCCCAGCCCAAGGTAAATAAGGCAATTATAAAATCTAACAGGTGTCTATGTTTTAGTAATTGTGATAGCAGGTTAAATAATGCCACCACAGTTACAGGGCTAATAACAGTATAGAGCCCAACACCCGTTTTTATTTACAGCAACACAGAAGGGCTTATATTTGTGCAGAAGCTCCTTCGTGGGCCTGGTTTGCCCTCCAAGTTTGTGCAGCAGCAGCTGCTGCCCTGCGCTCACGAGGATTCCACACATGGAGTCCATGCGCTCTCCCATGGCCTGGAATTTCATTCCGCAGGCATTTGGGTCCTGGTGGGCATCAGCATTGTCTGCAAACCAATGGTAAAAAGGAATTCTCTTCCTTCATGAGGACAGAGGATGGAGGCCTCAGTGAGGGGTGGCATATGAGGCATGGCAAGAAGCCTGTATTTGAACACAGGCAGCTTTGAGGTGGCAGCAGACCATCTCCTGCCTGTGGCCCACCCACAGTGAAGGACATACCCTGCGTATCGAAAGCTGAAATCAGGACACAGGAGTTGGCAGCTTGTTGATTTTGAGGCAGGCCTCAAGGCCCCTATATAGACAAGGGTGACCTTGAACTACTGATTCTGCTTCCCTCCCCTCCTGAGCGCTGAGATGACAAACACTGGCTACCACTGTGCTTAGGGTGTCCTTTGTAGCCCTGGCTTTCCTGGAACTTGCTGTGTTCGAGGCTGGCCTCAAACTTACAATGACCCACCTGTCTCTGTCTCTCAAGCGCTGGGATTAAAGACGTGTGTCACCAGGCCCAGCTTGAATTTGCAACTGAATCAAAAGTATAAAAAATACATGGGCCAGTAAAATTGTTCATCAGGTAAAGACCCTTGACACTGAGTCTGATGACCTGAGTTTAGTCTCTGGGATCCACACTGTAGAAGTTTTGAAAAAGCTGTTCACAAGTCTGCCATAGCTTGCAGAGGCCACACATATTAGATTCTGCACAGTTGGAGTTACAAGGGGTTGAGAGTCACTAGACATGGGCTCTGGAGACTGAGCTCATGTCTTCTGGAAGAGCAGCTAGTGCTTTTAACCACTAACTATCTCTTCAGCAAAACAGCTTACCACTTGTTAGGTGAATGGCTTGCATTTCTCACCGACTAAAGTTTTCACCTCCCTCTCTCTGGATAGTCAACTGGCCAGTCAGCCTCATGGTATCCAGGAGTCTCCTGTTACCTTTGATCTTAAATGATTATTACCTGAAAACTCTGGGGCTGACTTTTCTGTTTGGGTCCCCCCCCTCCAGGCAGCTATTTTCCTTTGCAGAGTTTCTCATGTCCTTTTGAAGGGTTGGGGTAAGCATCCACAGGTATGATCAATTTGTTCATTTCAGGGCTGGGGATGGAATCCCAGTGCTTTGCCCAAGGCAGGCAAGTGCTCCACCACTGAGCTGCTGCCATCATCACCACCAACACAGTTATCATTATCCTGACCGTCGTCGGCACCATCATCATCACAGTCATCATCACCCTCACCACCACCATCATCATCATCATCATCACCATTATCATCACCCTCACCATCATCACCATCACTGTCATCATTACCCTCAACATCATCACCATCATCATCACCCTCACCGTCACCATCACCACCACCACCACCACCAAGCCCCAGGCTCCAGCACAAAGCTTCTCAGCTGACATAATCTCAGCCACCAAGCTTAATTCTGTAAGTGTGGGAAATTGGCATGGAACTGGCGAGGCTGAGCGTGTTCAAGCCCTGGAAGTCTCAAACTTGAGATGGGCAGGAGTAAGAACAGCTCCCTCCCTGTTCTGAGCCTGCATGCCCTAGGGCACATAAGCTGGCTACAGCCAACTCTCAAGGTCGTCACAGGTAGCCGGCACCTGGATGCAAACAGAGCAGCACCAGCATCACAGCCCCAGACAAAGAAATGCATTCACCCTGAAAACCTCTTCCCACTCCCTGGGGTTCCTATAGTACTTGTTCACCGTGGAATAAACACCCATAAGCTGTTTCACTAAATGTCGTCTAAGAGTTGCTGTTTCATTGAGACAGCTCTGAGCCAAGAGAGCTGTAGTGCTAAAATTCTCTGAGAAGCTCCCCTCCCCCTATCACTCCCAGCCGGACCAGGATCCTGTAGACACCACCCAGTCTGGATTTCACTTCATTCTTCCTGGCTTGGTGCGCAGTGGTGCCTGGACACCCTGAGGGATGGAGCAGAATGCAGAATGATGGGCAGGTACCACATCAAGGCAAGCTTTACATCAGGGAAGACAGAGCAAGTTGCTTAGTAACAGAGGATGGCCACCCTAGCCAGTGCCACAGATGCTGGTGTGCGGCTGCCATGCGCATCAACCCACGTGTTGATGGCTATGACACAGTCACAGAAGTGACTGTACAGGCTGCCTATGAAGGACAATGCCCCCATCATGCTTTGCTACGGGGTATCTGCCTCATCCCCAGAGGAGAACACAGTTGCTCTGGAGTATCATTAATTAACTCAAAGGTATCTGCGTAGGGTCAGTCAAGCAGGTTGTGTCTGGCTGCCCTGACAAAGGTGGTCACAAGAGGAAATTGGGTTCAGCATATTGAGGAACTGGTGTGTCATGAAGTGCTGGAAAGCATGTCAGGGGTGACGAATGAATTCCTGTTTCTGAAGTGAGAAAGTTGATCGTGTGTTTGAAATGGATGTTGCGGCAGCACAAGAGTTGACTACATAGTTCTCACTGGAATTTTCTGAAGTTGAAAGTGGGCATATTGGCATACCTCCATCACCTCAGCATGGAGGATGACAGGTTAAAGGTCAGCCTGGGTTGTATTGCAAAACCTTCTCTGAACAAAAACAAGTGAAACTATTTTTTGTATGATTGAAAAGATTAATTGCTTCAGTAGTGCCTTTAATCTCAGCACTAGGGAGGCAGAGGCAGGCAGTTCTCTGTGAGTTCTAGGCCAGCTGGTGGTCTACACGGTAACTTCTGGTACAGCCAGAGTGTCCAAAAACCAAAACCCAAACCAAACAAAAAACAGCACAAAAAGAAACAAACAAACAAACAAACAAAAAAAAAAACCCAACCAGCCAACCAATCCAACAAAAAGCAAACAAACAAAAAACAGAGTAGAAAAGAATAAATTAATTTTCAAAGAAGAGGAAACAGAGGCTCAGAGAGCTTTAGCTGAGGTTTGAGCACTGGTCTCCTGAACCCCACTGCTGACGTCAGCAGGCAGGGTGGCCACTGACAAGCACTGTACCTCCCAGGAATGGCCTCATGTCCTGTTGTGAAACTTCCCAGAGAGTCTTTCTGGGGACAGGGTGTCTTACAGCTGTCCCAGCAGCCCACAGAAGCAGTTGGAGCTGAACTTGAAGGATGAGGAAGCCTGGACTCTGGGGGCTGTTGTGGATATTCTTTGTCTCAGGTAAGGCGGGTGGGAGATGGGAGCAGGTGAGGGTTCTGGACCAGAACTTCAGGAGCTGTGTGTGTGTGTGTGCATGTGTGTGGTGTAGGTTACAGGTTGACATTGGGTGTCTTCCTCAATTGCTTTCCAAATTTCTTCCCTTGAGACAGGGTTTTACTCTGTAGCCTGGCTGGCCTGGAAGTGCCTCCCATTTATTGCTTTCCCTTCTTTTGAGTCTCTTATTGAGCCCAGAGCTGGCTTCTTTGTTAGGCCGCCTGGCCGGGGTACCCCAGGGGGCCACTTGTCTCTACCTTCCTGGAGCTGGGACAGAAGTGTACCACCACATTAGACTTTTACACAAACGCTAAAGATCAAGCTCCGGTCCTCACGCCTGCACAGAGCACGCTTCACCAACTGAGCAGCTCTAACTCCCTGACACTCTTTCTTGCTGAAGCGCTAAAGCAGTGGTTCTCAACCCGTGGGTCGAGACGCCTTGGGTGGCAATGACCCTTTCACTGGAGTCTCCTAAGAAACACAGAAATTTACAGTGTGATTCATAACAGTAGCAAAATTACAGTTATAAAGTAGCAACTAAATAATTTTTTTTGGTTGGGGTTACCATAACGTGAGGAACTGTATTAAAAGGCCTTAGCATTGGGAAGGTTGAGAATCACTATCCTAAGCACATGGCCAATCACACACAGGCCTAACATGCTGCTCATGTTAGGCTAGGCTTCACCTGGGCTCAGAAAATCAGACCCCTGAAGCTGATGAACTGAAATATAAGGAGGGTGAGTTAAGGAGGCAGGTGGTCTATGCTTGCTTTTTTGTAAAAAAAAAAAAAAAAAATTGATTTATTTTATTTGCATGAGTGTTTGCATACATGTATGTACATGTATCACATGCATGTCTGGTACCTGAGGAGGCCAGAAGAAGGCAATCAGATTCCCTTGGAACTGGAGTTAAAGATGGCCATGAGCTGCTACACAGGTGCTAGGAACCAAACCTTGGTCCTTTGCAAGAGCAGCAAATGCTCTTAACAGCTGCTCTTTGCCTCCCACATGCCAGGCAGAGGCTCTACCACTGAGCTGTAGGTCAATCTGCCATGTGCATGTTGATGTCAGAGACACACAATTTTTTTTTTTTTGAGACACAGTCTTTCTGTGTGTCCCTGGTTGTCCTGAACTACCTATGTAGGCCAGGTTGGCCTCAAACTCACCCAGTGATTTTTCTGCTTCTGAATTAAACATGTGTGGTTCATTATGTCCAGCCATCTGAATACTATTTCATCTTGAAGCGCTTTTTTCTTCTACTCCCCCATGATGCTTTACATGTGGGCAGCCCATTAGATCCCAAAGATGTAGTTCATTTAAAGGATATTTCCCAGGGTTGCCTTGGGCCAGCAAAGCTGCTACTTCAGAGGCCAAAGGTATAAGCAGAAGCCTGTGTCCGTCCTCACGGGGGTTGTAATCTCAGCTCTTTGGCTGATGCTGGAGCCGGAGAGTTCAGCTGCTCACATCACATATGCTGGACAGGGCTGGCCCAGCCCCCAGCCCCGTGTCTCCATCTGTAACATTTCAGTGAGTCAGGGCTTCCATGATGACAGCCCGAGGGTGGAGCCCATGAATCTGTCAGAAAGGGTGAATCAGCCATCCTGTGATGAAATGATCAAAACTCATTCAACACAGCCCCGTGCCTCTGCTGACCTGTCTGTGTATATATGGGGACATTCTGCCTTCCCCCCCACACTTTAAAAAATTTAAAAATTTCTGACAGGACCTCATGTAGCTCAAGCTGATCTCAAATTTTCTTTGTAGCTGCGGATTAGCTTGAACTTTTCCCTGATCCGCCAACCTCTGCCTCCTGACTTCTGAGATTACAGGTGCACACTGTCGAACTGGGTGTGGGAGGCATCCCTGGGCAGAGCACAAGGAAGCCTGTTTTTTTCTTAGAGGCCTAATTGGCTTTTTAGCCTTGCTCACCTACAGAATCCCCCATGGGGGCTTGAGTCTTACCAAGGCCAGGTGAGGGCAGAGCAAGCCTTCTGGAACCTGACATCCTGTGTGGGCAGGCAAGGGTTCTAAAGAGGTACGTCTTGGCCTGTGTGTGTGCATGTGTGTGTGTGTGTGTGCGTGCGTGCATGTGTGCGCATGTGTCAGTTGTGGTAAGGACAGCAGTAGAAATTTGGGGAAGCGAAAGTCCAATTCACTGATCTGGCATCCTGTCCATGCCTTTGTTGGAGAATGACATCTGGACACTCTCATTCCTGTTTATAACTGAAAACGTTTCCCAATACCTTACACCCAGTGGGTGGGGGGCACACACACCTGGTATCCGGTGCAGGGGGCATCTGACATCCAGTGGGGGGAACACCTGACCCCCAGTGGGGTACACCTTACACAAAGAGGGAGGACATCTTACAACCAGTGAAAAAACATGGCTGTGATTTCTGTCAAAAAGGGAAGGGATTTATTGGCTTAGGTACCAGGGAATCCAGGGATATTGGCTTGAAAACCATCACTTGAAATTGTCAGCTTCCCTCTTTCTCTCTGCTCTCTTCTGTTCGGCTCATTCTCAGGCAGCTGATTCCTATGTGGTAAAGATAGAGGAATTGGAATTTTACACCCTGCAGACCATCAGCCTCTGCGTAAAGTTTTGAATAGTCACAGAACAGGTTTTGATGGGCTCACCCTAGTCATGCACCTATCCCTAAGCCAATCTGTGTGGCCAGGGTCTTAGGACTCTTAATCTTCCTCATGGAAAGATGGGTAGGGCCCATCAGCTGAGCCATAGAGCATGGCTACCATGAGAAAGAAGTGCTTTGTGACTCAAAGAAGGGAGAAAATGGTGCCAGACAGGCAGAATTCCTATCCATTGTGCCCATGATACCGTATCTAATTTGTTTTTCTTGATACTTCCTTGGTGGCTCCTGAATTGATGATCTCTTTGTCCTGACTTAGATGGAGCCCCTCAAACTTCCTAGGTATCATCCTGTGCTTGGAGAAGATCCTTATATCCACTCTTTACCATTCCCCATCATGCCCTGGCCATTCATGTCTTCAGTCAGGCTGTGTCATCTTTCTAAAGGATGGTTTAGGACTAGAGAAATAAATAACATGGTCAGTGAAGTGCTGCCACACAAGCAGGAGGACCTGAGTTTGGTCCTCAGAAGTCATGTAAAAAAGCCAGCCGTGGTAGCATGCACAATTAATCCCAGCACTAGGGAGGAAAAGGCAGCTGGATCTCTGTGACTCAATGACCAGACAGCCCAGCTGAATTGTCCCACGTAAAGAATGAGAGACCTCAGGAAAAAAGGCAGCCAAATGGATAGAATTCTGGATGTGTATGGCACCTGAGGTTGGCCTGTGGGCACCACAGGCATGTGCACACCACAGGAGCACACATGAATACAGACATTGACATGTACTCACAAAAGGGTTATTTATGAAGTTCGATTCCCATGGATCACATATCATTGGCTCTTATAGTGAAACAAATGTTTGTTTAGTATAAGAGCCATCAGATAACGTTTTCACAAACAAACAGACAAACACCAAACAACTCCTTCCCAGTGGAGTTTGGACAAAGATTACTCCCTCCAGAGTAATCTCCAGAGTAATTTCCTTTTTCTTATTTATAGAAGCTCAAGCTGCCATTGACCTGTCTGAAGAAAGGTATGACCTAGCTGAGGGGCAGACTTTGACAGTGAGATGTCCCTTCAACATGAAGTATGCCAGCAGCCAGAGGGCTTGGCAGAGGCTTCAGGCTGGAAAGGAGCCCTCGACTCTGGTGGTCACCAAAAGGTCGTCTACACCCACGGAGTTCCGCGTGGGGAAGTACACACTGAAAGATGACCCCGGGGAGTCCATGCTAATTGTTGAAATGACTGACCTTCAAGTGGCAGACTCTGGATTGTATCGCTGTGTGATTTACCATCCTCCGAAGGAGCCTATTCTGCTCTTCTATCCTGTCCGCCTGGTGGTGACCAAGGGTGAGTGACCAGGAAGGGTCTGGGGAGAGGGTAGAGAGAGGTGGGCAAGGCATGGATGGAGCTGATGGGGTACACTGTGTATTCAGTTGTTAATTCTGTACTGGCAGAGAGCTAAGTGTTGGTAGGATTCTGGTGTTGACACTTCTGAGGCCCATTACCAGAGCCCTTCCTATTTGCCCTTTCTAACCTGCCTAAGGTAATCTAGAATTGTATCTGATTGGCTTTGATAAAGAGCTAATGCCCAATATCTGTGCAGGAAGTAGAGGGTGGAGCTTTTGGAGAAAGAGAGAGACGATGAGAGAATGAGACGAAGGGAGAAGAAATGAGATGTAGGAGATTTGCCAGGGATACAGAGATGAATGGAGTAGAGCAAAGTGATGGGACGTAGTGTCAGGATTAGTCAGAATGAGATTAAAGCAGCCAGGAGACAGCTAGAATGCCAAAGATTTAAAATATTAAAAAGCCTCTGTGTAGTTACTTATATCACTGGTGGGTCTGTTTTTTTTTTTTTTTTGTTTTTGTTTTTTTTTGTGTGTTTTTTTTTTTTTTCAGAATCTTGCCTGTCATTCAAGGCTCTTAGCAGGCACTTGGCCTAGCAGTAACTAGGGGATCTTGTATATAGATTCCCCTTGGGAAGAGGTGAGCAGTAGAGTTGGAACATGATTTAGTTCCATTTCTGAGACCTCTGTTTAGAAGTCATATCCTTAGGAAGCCTTTATTTTTCAACTAACCATTTAGCTTGCTTTAATGTTTCTTGAGAACAACGTTGTGGCCAACATTATAAATATGAAACTATACATTTAGAGCATTTTCGGGCTTAAAAGAAACAGCTGTTCCATCAAAGGTTCAGAAGACCTCATGGTGCCACCTCATTTTCCTCCACACAGGTCACCTTGGTTCAGGCCACGGCCACCTCACCTCTGAAGCAATCTCTGGATGCTTTTCAAAGTCTGCACAACTCTTTATGGCCTTTTTTCTCCCCACGAGCCACCAGTGCCATCTCTGCCATGGTCACGGTCCAGTGGTGGGAAGGGCCAGGGAGGATGTGCTCAGGTTTATCCTGGTTGCACATTCTCTTCTCCAGGCAAAGTTCTAGTTTCCACAGCCCTGCTTGGACTCTTGCTTAGTGCTGGACATTCCTTCCTCCAGAGGGGGTTCTCTCTGGAATCTCAGAGCCTTTTTGGGAAGAAACTCTCTTTGTTTCCTCCATGACCTCCTATATGACCTATGGATCTTCTAGGATCTCCGAGGCCATCAGGGCCTCTGCAGATTGGTGGTGGCATCCTTCTGCCCTCAGGGTGGCATAACACTCTACATGCTGTTTATTGGAGGCTTCTTTCAGGCAAGAGAAAATTTAAGTTTACTTGCTTGAAAATCTCCCATCAAGCTACTCATGGCAACCTTGTCAGTTGTCAGATCTCCCTAGGACACATGGCATCATTTTCAGGTTTGTTTCTGTATCCAGGTAGATATGGAGTAGGGGTTTCCAAGTTCTCTTGCTCATCCTAAACAACCTCACATTGCTTAAAGAACTCTTGGAGATCTTCCAAAGTCACACTGTGGTTTAATCCTTGGGCATGAATTGCACTGTTGGCAGGCAGAGTCTTCGTCAAGATTTATAGGGAGATCTATAATGAGCCAAGTCTGCCCCTTCAGCCATGGATCCACCAGGCTTATTGAAGCCTCCTACCTCTCTAGCGCCCATTCCACCCTGTTCTCCTCTCTGACTACTTCTGCTCATGCCTGTAGGATTAAATCTTTTTCCTTTCCCAGCCATTCCTATTTCTACTGTCTTCTGGTCCAGGAAATGCTCCAAACCCCTGCCCATAAACGCCAATGCTGCTGGGTGGGCTCTGTGGAATAAGATTTGCCCCCTGTAGATGCTGCTTTATTGGTTATATTGAGTTGGCTGGCTGTAGGGTCTAATCTGAGTGGGGTAATTAGAGGGAGACTGCCTCCCATACCTGCTTTGCTGACCTTAGCTGCTCTGCAGTCTATACCTGCTTGACTGCCCATACGTGTTCTGCTGAGAGGAACCGTTACGATCATAACCAGTTTGGCTGTGAAGAGGATTGGCTGGCATGAGGATGACCTCAGAGGGAGGACCAGAAGATCAGAAATAATAATAATAATAAAGACTCGGAAAGGGCTCAGAGGCTTGCACAACTGTTTTATGCTAAGCAAGTTTATTGAGGACTGTAATGTCAGTTGGCCACGGGTGGCCCTCGCCTTTATTCCCAGCACTTGAAAGGCAGAGGCAGGTGGATCTCTATGAGTTCAAGACTAGCGTGGCCTACAAAGTGAGTTCCAGGACAGCCAGAGCTACATAATAAGATCCTGTCTCAAACAAACAAACAAACAACAAACAAAAAGCTCAGCATCTTCTATGCTGTTTGCGGGGGGTGCGGTGGGCTGGGAAACAGGACAGAATCAGCAGAAAGTTTTCATACAGTGGGGCAAAGTCAGCGGGATCCAATCGAGCAATACTGCAAGGGAGCACAGGAAAGCTCAAGGGCGCAATAGACCCATTGCTCATCAGCCACGGGACCGATAGCTCTAGTCTTTCCAGCCGGGATCCAGGTTCCCAGGAACTGAAACCTTAAGTCCTTTGAGGCCCTGGCCCTCGCCTCAGATCAGACCTTGCCATGTTTGCTTTTGGGCAAGAGCACAGAACTTCTGTTCCCTGTGTCTTTTCATCGGGGCCTGTAAGAAAATCTCGGATTCAGTCTGACTCCCGACCGAACAGGGTGGGTCAGCGCTGACTGGCTGCCTCTGGTGGCTTCCCTGGGATACTGCCTTCGAGCTGTCCACATCCTCGGGCTGGCTCTAACCTTGCTGTGCTACACTGAAGTTGACCAATCTCAGCAGACTCTTTGCTACCCTGTGCTCTCACAGGCACGGTGGCTGCTGTCTGCTGACATAGGCTGGGTAAGCAGGCTGAGTGCTGTGTGCCCAGCTGAGCTGCATAGGAGGTCTTAGTGGTGGTGATAGTGACAGGAGTAGTATCATAAGCACTGTGTTATACCCCTGGACAGGCTAGCTATATTCCTGGAGGGCAGCTGGAGGCTGTCCAAAAGAAGTTACATATGCAGTCTGCACCTAGGGCTAGCGGCCTAAGGCCTGGGTATAGCTGACATAAGCAGGGTGTCCACAGGTTCCATATATTGGTGGCCCGTGTGACTAGATGGTGTCTGCATGTCCCTGAACTGACTGGGCTGTGAACACTATATTCCTGCTGGCTTGCAAGTTTGCTGTAATCCATGGATGCTGTGATCTCTTCTTAGGAAGCTCTTGAGGTCTACTCTCCTCATCCCAAGAAGCTGTTGGTGGCCCTCCCACGGGATTCTAAACTGTGTAACTCAGGCCTCGCTGAGGGCACAAACCACCTGAAGACCTTATTTCAAATGCAGAGCCTGGCTCGGTAGACCTGATGACATTTGCTTATGAGGAACAGGTCTCTAGGCTCACTCCCATAGGGATCCATGTACCTACAAGTCCTGCCTATGAAATTCTGAATTCTCCAAGGAAGAGCGGGTGCCTTGGGGGCTCTCCATCCCCAGCGAGTAATAGTGGATGCACCAAGGATGGCAGAGAAGGAGGAAACAGGCCTCCCTCCCTAGAACCAGGAGAATCTGTGCCAAGCCTAAGACAGGGCTCAGATGCAGCCAGTACAGAACAACTTCAGAGTCACGTGACCTACACAGGCTGAGAGAACGGTGTAAGGGAGAGAATGGGGCAGAGGGAGAGGTGAACGCAGCAGGCAAGAGCATTCCCATAACTCAAACATCCTGAAAGTCTTTTCTGAAGCCTCTTCCCACCCTTCCTCTTCTCCTTCCATTCCTTTTTACTGATTCGGGCTGACTTTACACTATTTCTTTGAAGTTTAGCAGCAAAACAAAACAAAACCTTGCTTCTTGAATGGCTCCATTTTTCTTCTCCTACTCCTCTGTCCATCCGTCCATCCATCCATCCATCCATCCGTCCATCCATCCATCCATTAATTACCTATCAACCCTCTTCTTGCAGCTTCTTCAGATGCGTCCACTCTTGACATCACTCCTACTACAAGGCTGACTAAGGTTCCCATCCTCACTACAAAACGCCTGCCCAGAGACCCAACTGTGACCCGATCCCTCCCCAAGTCCACGGCTGCTGTCACTTCTCCTAACCCTGGAGTCACCCTCACAAACGTACCAAGAGTTAACAGGTACGTTTTCTGGGCTCCCGGTTTGGACATCCCTCGTTTATTATCCTGTGTGCTGAGAAGGGATGAGGAGGGGGATGGGCGTGGAGCAGGAGCAGACTTGAGTCACCTCAGTCCGTGCTGAAATGTCCAGGGAGGGAGGAAGTGGCAGAGGTAGGCAGATCTCGGTGAGTTCAAGGGAAGCCTGCACTACATAGTGAGTTCGAGGACAGCCAGAGCTGCATAGAGAAACCTTGACTAAAACAAACAAACAATCATCCTTCAACAATTCTACATACTCCTCAGAATCATAATGTTAATAAACAGACACTTTTTATCAGTCAGAAAAACCATAAAGCTCAGTCATTTGCCTGTTTTTAGCTGTTGATACTGCTTTCATTTAAAAATATTTCTGATGCTGTTATTTTTGTTTTTCAAGACAGGATTTTTCTGTGTAACCTTGGCTGTCCTGCAACTCACTCTGTAGACCAGGCTGGCCTCAAGCTCAGAGACCCACCTGCCTCTCCAGGCTGATTTTTAAAATCTTTTATATCAACAAAATTTCCCTGAAAGAATTAGAGCATTTATGCCACTTTGCATGCTACCATATATACAAACTGTCTTCTAAATATCAGGATTTTGGGGGCTGAAGAGATGGCTCACTTGTTAAGAGCACTAGCTGCTTCTCTAGAGAATCTGGGTTTGATCCCCAGGACCCACACGGTGTCTGACGATCATCTGTATCTCCAGTCCCAGGGGATCCACTGCCCTCTCTGACTTTCGTAGACACTGCACCTACGTGGTGTATAAACACACCCCAGGCAAACACTCGTAGACATAAATAAGATCATTTTAAGCTACTTTGCAGACGAGCCACAGTGCAGAAGCGAGGCAGTGTTACCGCAGGGTGGCGTCTGGGCTTCGCATGCTCGGACATTCCTCCCAGGGCTGAGCACACGGCTCGGAGCGTGGGCTAAGGAGCCGCACGGTTCCGGCTCCATCTTCAGCACCGAGAAAAGGATCTTCTTAGTGAAATAGATGTGAAGTGCTCATGACACTTATTTCTATGTGGGGGCGGGTGCTTGCTCCAGGCTTGAAGGCTGACTCTCCCACCCCGCCTTTGCATTGTTTCGAGTGCCTGGCATGAAGTGTAGGAGTACAGGTCCTCATTCAGCCTTCGTGGACTAAATAAAATCTAGTGAGAGTCAGCAAGAAATATTAATTTTTAATTAGGTGTGTGTGAGTGCACATGCGTAGACTTGCAAGAGGCATTTTGGATCCCTTGGGGTTAGAGTTACAGGGAGCTGTGAGTCCATTGTGGGTGCCGGGAATATAACTTGGGCTCTCTGGAATAACAGCATATGCTCTTAAGCACGGAGCCATCTCCCCAGGAGTTAGTTTTGCTTCGTTGCCTCTGTTTCCAAGGCCCAGGATGCACTTACTCTGCTCACACTGTGACCACCGCTATACCTTTTCCGCCTGCTCATGTTACGCAGTGTGACTGTAGCGTGGGATCATTCGCCAATACTGGTTACTTTGTTGGTTGGAGAACAGGCAGGACAACAGCAGTCACCCCAGCTGTCCACAAGAGAAGTGTTTGAATTCAATGAGTTGTCTTCCCAGAGACCCCGCCCTGTTGTTGGGCGGGCATTGCAGGGAGCCCTTTCTTTCTGTGGCGGGGTTACTTTCTTGTTGCTAACCTGCCACTGGAAAGTAAACCTTGTGAAAACGTTTTAGGAAGTCATCCCTGGCAGAACCATTAGGGAAGTGAGACTGGGAAGGGAAGGAAGTCAAGAAAGGGTCATAAACAGGGCCAGTCTCTCAGGTGTGGCATAGGCTGGCTCCTGCCGGGGAGTCTGGGTAACACCTGAAATTGCTTCTATCAGAGGCAGAAGGCCTGGAGTATATATATTCCTACATCCACTCATCTATAGGGGAAGCCCTAAGCAATGCATGGGTACACGATTCCCACCACCTCAAGGGTCCCACAGTCTGCGCACAGCCTGAGAAAAAGATGCATGAATTGCTGCTGTAAAGGGGTATGTCCTAGAGCCCAACACATGAAAATAGCACAGGGTTCCAAGGAAATACCATGGACCACTGGCAGGTTAGAAGCAACGCAGCTAGCCAAGGCCAGAAGCAGGGCCTTTCGAGCAACAGGCTCCCCTGGGGGGGGGGGGGCTGAGGATGGCACCAGGGAAGGTGCTGTGGAGGCCACAAGATGAGAGACAGGAGCTGGTGTTTCTCTGCTGGTTGCCTCTCCAGCACTGTGAGCTGCTGGACTTTGGGGCTAGTGTCCCCTTGATAGGACAGGAGGTTGGAGAGGAAGTCAGCGTGCGTGGGCAGGCTGCCTCAGTGCAGTACCATCTGAAAGAGTGCCTGTAGTGCTTGCTGTTATAGTTTTGATCTATTCCTTAATTGTGCTCAATTCTATTTCCCAGAGATTTTCCATGACCCCTCCCCATATCTCTATCTCTATATCTCTAGCTCTGTATTTCTGTATCTCTCTGTCTATAATCTATATATCTATAATATGGATCTCTATATCTCTTTCTATCATCTATCTAATCTCTCTTTTCTCTCTCTCTCTCTCTTCTCTCTCTCTCTCTCTATATATATATCATTAGCTTTGGTTGGAGCAGAATTTTAGTCTGGACTCAGGCCAATAGAACTTTACGCTGCTATGTAGTATAGCTGTACCTAGGATTATTCACTAAACCATCTTTGCTTTAGTTACTAAGCAGATCATTGACCAAGCCATTGCATTTTACTTATTTATTTAGACAAGTTCTCTTTCTGTGGCTCATGCTGGCTGGAGACTTGTGATCTTCCTCCCTTCTCAGTGCTGGGATTATGGGCATGAGACATGTCTGGCTTTGTTAGTCATTCAGATGTGACATGTAGAGGCCATGATGGCCTTGTGCTCACATATAAGCACCAGGGAAACCAGTATTGTTAAACATTCATTGTTGTTTCTTCAAAGGAAGAGATGAACATCCTGATTGCTGCACAGAAGGCTGGGATTGGGTGTGGTTAATGGCCTGGTGTCCTGTGCACCCAGTCTCTGTGTGGCCAGGTCACACCTGCCCTCCTCCCTCCTGATTTTATGTTTATCTCAGTCATTCTCCCTATACCCTTATCTTGAGCATTGTTTCTCAGTCAATAGAACTTTACGGAGGAGGCCATTTGCACTTTGAAAAGAGTTTCAATGTTATTGTGTTGTTTATGCTCTGTTGTGCACAAAGGAATGAGTTAGTTAGAATCAGGAAGCTCTTTTTTCCTAAGTTGTCCTGTGCTTACATATGCCTAAAATAAACTGCCGGGTGTCAGGCTCTAGATGTTTCAACCAGCACCATCTACTGAAGGTTACTGAAACGGATTTCCTTCTTCCCTCATATAGATGGCCACTGTGCTGGCCATGGTGTTTGTAGAGGACCACCTCCCCACACTTATATATCAATACCACATGTGCCCTCTATGTGACTCATTGTCACCTCTTCTGTTCCTGTATCCTATCATGCAGAGTACTTGAGTCCTTGTCTGCTTCCCTATCTGCTCAGGGTCAGGCAGGGTTTTCCCTCCTGTGTGGGTATCTTTCTTATATCTATTGATGTCTGCCTCGAACTTGGAGAATCATTTTGCTAAAATCATGACAACTTTTCAGTACAGTTAGATTCTTCTTGGCTTCTTGGATGGGAAAATGAGGCTAAAGGTGAGGGGACCATCCTCAGAAGCTGGTCAGAATGCTGACAACAGAGATCAGGTTCTCTAATATGGACCCCACTCCATTCCTCAGAGAAGGCCATGATGCTGGGTTAACCCTTCCTTCAGTATACATCTCCTGGACCTGAACTCTATGCTCTCCACTAAAGGTGTTTCTCATTGGTTATTTTAGGAGGTGACCATCTAAACTGCATAGGGCCAGAAGCTGTGGGAAAGCTGCACAAAGGACCTAAGTTGAAAAGATTGGATGGGAAGAATTTCCTAGACTCTGCAGCATGGATGGTCATTGCCTTAACCTTCAATCTCCTCTCTCCACAGGCTCTCCATAACCAGTATTGTTGTTCTCGTGGTCTGTGGACTCTTCAGTAAGACTCTGATCTTCACTGTCTTGTTTGCTGTCACACAAAGGTCATATGGATGACAGAGCATGAAGCCACACAACAGTGACCTCTGACCTCCAGCCATGTCTGTCCCACAGAAGGAGCTGGGGTGGAGGGCTAAGATGAAGCTGTGACAGGAACTGAGGCTGTGACAGGAACTGAGGCTGTGATTGCAGGTGACATCTAAGGCTCAGGATGCTCACTCTCCTCAGTTCATCAGTCATCTGGGATGTGTGACCTCAGAAGAGAGGAAGCAACCCCAGCACATGCTGGCCATTCCCCCTAATAGGAGGATTTATAAAATAAAGAGAGCCCAGGTCATCTCTCTGTCACCTTTTGTGGGAGAAGTGAGGTCTAGGAGTCACCGTTGACATTCCCACCCCTGTCTGTCCCTTCCGTGGTCCAGTTCTAGCCACCTGGATAGGGTCCTTGCTCATGAAGCATCCTGCTCTCCCAGCCTCTGGAGCCTTCCTCTCTAGGAGTCAGACACTCAGATTTCTGCCTCCATCTGTGGTCCTCTGGACACTCCCAAACACTTGGAAGAGAGGGTGGCATCCATAGGATTGGATCAGTACATGGTATCAGTATGCTGTGTTTCATCATTGACTCCTCATGCAACCTATAAAAGCTAAGGCTTATGTGACCAGAGTGAGGCCACAGGAGTAATAGGCCACCTCCTCCTGGCAGGAATGCAATCTGGACCGTTTCCTCGCTGAAGGGCTCCAAAGGCAGAGAGATAGAGAACCAGGCTCTGCTGCTAGCTGAATATCCCTTTTCTGTACAGAGGCAGAAGCCAGCATAGGAGAGGACAGGAGCCCATCCCAGGCTGTTCCCTGTGTGCCTCTACCTTCCACTCACCTTCTTTCTCCTCTAGTCTCCTCCCAGGAACCCTATAGCACCAATGCTTTCTCTGGGACACACAACATTTTCTTGTTTCCCACCTCTGGTTTCTAAAGACAAAATGACCCCATGGGTAGGTTTGTTCTACTTCAGCAATGGCTGAGGCCAGCTTCATCCTAAAGTCCCCCAAGAGCAAACACATCTCACCACATAGCAGCCAGCTCACTTGACCTCAGCCAGAAGGCTGACAAGTGGCCGGACCACCCATCTTCAGTCAGGAAAGCATGCTGCTGTCAGGGAGACTTTCCCCTACCTATGAAGTGACCCCACATCTCACGGCATGCTTCTACCACATAGGGACATTTCACTGGGAACATGGCTCCCTGTATAACCCCACCCTGGCGTGGCCCTGAGGAGACACGGGGTATGTACAGCCCCACAATCTCCAGCCTGTGGGAGAGGCCTCAGTGGAGTTCACTGTCTTGGTCCTCTGGCATGAGTCTTCGGAAGACTGGTCCAGAAGCTCATCACCGCAGTTTGTTTGTTTTTTGAACCAAGCAGGGGTTTATGGTGCAGTAGGTAAAATTCTTCCTGAGCAAGCCTGAGGACCAGGAGTTCTACCTACAGCCTCAGCACTGGTGTAGCTGAGACAGGTACCTTCCTGGGGCTTGCTCACCAGCTAGAGACCCTCTTCTGTTCAGTGAGAGACCCTGTTTCAACAACAACAACCACCACATACACACTCACATCTATGCGGAAGTTGTGTGGTGTCTGTCATAGTCCAGAAGTTGTCAGCTTGCCATAGCCTAGAAGTCACAGGTGAAGAGACCCTCAGTTGAGGAATTTCCCCCATGGGCGTGTCTGTGCTGTGAACTTAGCTTGGTGGTAGGCAGTTGTACTGTGTTTCCCAGCAGCACCTGGGCTGATGGGCAGGAAATGGATGTGTCAGCCCAGGCAGGAAAGGTATGTGTGTGTTTCCCCCGAAGATCTGTCCAGGCACTGTTTGCTTCTAGATAGGAACAGAGGAACTGACAGGATCAAAGATTCTATTTCTGTCAGGAATGGCTAGATCGATTAGGGCAAGGCCTGTGTACTAGGTCAGCCTCCTGGTCTTACTTGAGGAGGTGGAAATAAGTTTTCCACTGGGTGTTACAATTAGCTCTTTTAAAAATTGCCGGTATCAGATGGCAGTGAAAACACAGGCATTCCAAAAGCCTGTTATGATGCTATAGAGTTACAGCCTTTAAGATAACCACTGTATTAATGGCAGGGATGTGGGCAAAAGCTCAAAACTGACCAGAAGGCAGGTCCAGTGGAACGAAGTTCTGATGGGATGGAGGTCAATGGCCATTGAGGCAGTTCTGCACACCAGTGAACAGAAGATGCTCCCGGCAGCTGGATGGGTGGCTGCCTCACTGGAAGCCAGTCTTGAGGCGGTCAGTGGTGATTCTCCAGGGAGCCCTTCCTTCTCCAGAATAAATGATGAATTTCAGGTGGAGGAATGAAGTGAGAGAGTTTGTTTTTTTTTTTCCTCAAGAACTTAAAACCCTTGGGCAGTGGGAGGGGTTCTGAGGGTGAATATGTTTGATTGCAATGGGCCAGGAGCTCCAGGGAACTTAATCTACACGTAAGAAAACTGCCCTTATCATAAGAGGGGAAAGCAGTACTTAATTATCCTATGGGTGGGGGAAGAGCTCCAAGTACAACTGAAGGTCGTTGGTTGAAAAACAAGACACCAAGACATCTCATTAACATAGGATGAATGTTTCTAGGACTCCCCAGGTGCTTGCTGAATGGGTTTCTTACCAGGAAAGGGTTGGGCTTGTAATCTCCTGAAGGCTCTGTGATGCGCCTTAGTGTATCTGGGGTTTCCCAGAGCAGGTGTCGAGGGAACCCCTTTGAGAAAGACATTCCTGAGCTCAGAGGCTATCTGGAAACCCTCGACTTCAACCTTTTAGCAGATGGCCCTTCCTCACCCCACACCCATGCTTGCAGAAGTTATGTGGCGTCTGCCATAGTTCTCAGGTTGTCAACTTGCCATAGCCTAGAAGAGAGCCTCTGTTGAAGAATTGTCCCCTGTGGGTGTGCCTGTGCCATGCTGCATTGTCTTGAGTGTTGATTGAGGTGGGAGGGTTCACCCTGTTTATGGGTGCCATGATTTCGTAGTCTGGGCCTGATGGTGTACAAGAATAAGGAAACGTAGTTGATGGGAAGCAGGGAGACCACAGAGGTCCAGCTGTTTAGTCTTTGTCAGCGCTTTACTGTGCATGTGATATGACTAGCTGCTTTAAGTTCCTGTCTTGGTCCCCTACAATAACGAACTATGATCTGGAATTGTAAAACAAATTAGCCCTTTCTCCCCTCGGTTGATTTTTTTTTTTAAATCAGGGTATTTTTCTCACAGCATCAGAATGAAACTGGAACATTGGTGCACAGCTGTTATCCCAGAGCTTGGGAGGGAGAGGCAAGAGGGCAGAAGATTTGAGAACAGTCTGGACTGTGTAGTGAAACCCCATCTCAAAGAGAAAAATACATAAAAATGAAGACTCTACTCACGGCACGCCGTGTCTGTGTCCTAAGGTAGTGGTCGAGTTGGACTCTTAAGCAGAATCACCGAGGCTGCTTGCTAAAGTGCAGCTTTCTTGGTCCTTCTTCTGTCTGGTGCACACAGGGCCTGTGAGGGTAGAGCCCAGAGGTGACTGTGCGTTCCTGGCTCCCTAAGGGATTTAGCCCCAGAGCCACGCTGAGAGCCATGAGTAGATTGAGACAAACGATGAGCCAAGGGCTGAGGAGATGCCTCCATTGGCAAAGTGTTTGCCACATAGACACAAGGACCTGATTTTGATTCCTAGAAGTCACAGACAAAACACCAAATGTGGTAGTGTACACACGTAATCCAGCCCTGAGGAGGCAGGGTCGAGCAGCCTAGCCTATTTGGTGAGGGTCACACTAATGAGAGAGCCCATCTCAGAAAAACGAGGGAAAGGATTGCCGAACGGTGTCACCAGGTTGTCTCCTGGCTTTGGAAGGTGAGAAAATATGAATGTTCAGCATCGTTGGCTTGGGGAGAATTGGTGTGAGGGGTCAGTGGATGTGACAATGTCTTGGTGCCCAGAGATGGTGAGTAGAGGGCAGCGTGAGGACCTCAGATGTGGTGGAAAATGGCAGCCACAGTGTTTCTCAACAGACTGTGGCATCAAAGCAGGAAGGAGGGTGTCCCAAAACAGGGTACTCCCCCTTTCCCCTTCTGCATTTTCCCGGGCAGTTTCCTCTTGTCACACTTCCCTCAGGGTTTCTCAATGGGACGAAACAAGAAATAATGGAGCCTCTGGGGACAAAAGTCAGTCAACTTCTATGTGGGGCAGCTCACTCTAAGTGGCTTGGCCACTTGCCTCTGTCCACTGGCAGATAGCACACCCAGCAAGGCTCACCAGATGGAGGAGGCAGGGCCCTAGGGACTTTCACAACTGCTGCTATGGCTGGGGCTATTGCTCTGCATCTTGGGTAAGGAGAGGTGAGGTAGATGAGGAAGAGGTAGGTGAGGAAGCTAGAGGAGAGGGGGCCAACAAGGGGATGGAGCCAGCAGGGGAGCTAATTGTTAACAGAAGTTTACTTTTGTTTCTCAAGATGGACTTGGAGATGAGGTATGTGTTAGGGATGGGCGAGTACTGAGGAAGAAGTAGGGATAGATCACCGTGACTCATCCTGACCCAGCAGGGAATGGGCCATGAAACGAGTTGGAAGTTAAGAAAGTTATGGGGTGGTAACCAGGCAACCCCCTGCACTGTGCTGACACCCACCTAGAGGTAAAACCTTGGAAGCAAATCTCCCTTAAAGGAACAATCGATCACAGAGTGGCATAAATGGCATGTAGAGCAAGTTAGCCTAAAAATTAACTGACAGGTTGATGGAAAGCTCGTGGCTCAGTGTTTCAAACATAGTAAACACGTAATAAAATTATAGGGTATGATAGTGGTAGCAGCGTAGCATGGTGTGGATGGCCCGTGGCATGAAAGACCAAGAGAGGAAAAAGGTAAGTGTAGTTGGCACTGTTCAGGTGGATGCCCCCTTTGGACAGATGGAGAGGGGTTGAAGGAGGATTCTACCTGAGGGTACAATCAGCAGAAAGGGTTTGTTGCCAGGCAGCAACGTGCATGTCTGGGCCACCACAAATAGAACAGAAAACAATAGAGAGATGGGTATGGTGGCACACAGCTGTAATCGCAGCAGTCAGGAGGCTGAGGTGAGAGGATTGTGATGAATCTGAAGCAGCTTACCTTACAAGTTCAGGGACCTTGGAATGAGAAAGAGAGATGGGGCTGGCAGGGAAAAGGGAAAAGATTAGGAAGGAGACAGGTGGATGACGGAGTGTCTTCCTATGTACACCCATTTCTAGAAACAGAAATGATGATGCAATACTGGTAAAGATATTTTGTAACTTTTCAACATGAATTTTTTCCACTCTACAAAATGCAGACAAAATACTTACTGCAAACACACCACCTAGATTCAGCCAACTGTTGTGGATATCTTGCCTCGTTTGTGATGTAGACACACAAAAAGTAATCAATGGCATTGGAATTGTTGCAGAACTTCTAGATTACCCTTCCATGCCTTCTGGGGTCACTAATGTACTGCCTACGGGTGACACAAGAGGCAAGTTGGCCCCACAAAGCATGTATCTCCCATTCCAGGGCTCCAAGCAGGAGGTAAGGAAGAACAGAAGTGCCTTCTGGAAGGCAAGAACCTGACCATGACTTGTCCTTACAGCATCAGGTTATACTCACTCAGCCTGAAGGCCTGGTAGCGGGTGAGAAGCTTGGGTTCTCCAGAGGCCTTGGTGCTCACAAACACCAGAAATACAGACTTCAATTTTGCCCAGGCTGAGAGGTACTTGCTGGAGGATTATCCCACTGAAGCCGTTGTCAAGGTCACGGTGATTGGTCTGCAGAGGCAGGATGGGGGGCTGTACCAATGTGTGGTCTTTCTGTCCCCCGAGAGCCTTGTTGTACTGCATGATCGGATTCGGCTGTTATAGTGCCAAGGTGAGCTCCAGTGGACGCTGTCGGGTGCAGTCTCTCTCCGATCAGTAGTGGACAGGGACCCTGATCTGCTGCTTTAAGGAGGAAGCTCAGAGTAATGAGAGTTCTAGACCTTTCCTTCTCCCTGTGGGGAACTCATATTCTCTGTGCCCCAGTTATTGTGTCTGTAAGACACGGAAGTTGGATGTGGTGAACCCATCTGCTTCCATGGCGTGAAATCTGACAGAGAAACTGGTAACTGGCCATCTGCCACAAGCCAAGCCAGCAGATGATTACTTGTCCCACTGCCACTCTGTGCCAGGGAGGACCCAGGAGTGTAATCACTCACACTGCCCCTCTATAGATCAGTGAGCTGCTAGGACCACAGGCGCCCTCCTTTCAAAAGTCCTAGATAGAACTATGAAATGGCCTGGCTTGACCAATATGATACTAACTGGTCTGAGGATTTTTTTTTTTTTAATCAGCCAAAGATGTCATTTTTTTTTCTTTAAAGCATTATTCATATATGAATACACACACATACAAACCATGGCAAAACAAAATATAATAAGATGAAGAAAAAACCATAATGAAGTTGGACATGACAACCCAACAGGAGGAAAGGAGTCCCAAGAGCAGGCACAAGAGTCAGAGACCCACTTGGGCCATTTGCAGATCACCCTTGTGCTTTATTAATAAAGGCACAGACTTCTATAAAGTTTAAGGCTGTTGACTTTTTGTTGGGGCAGACTTTCAGCTAGCTATCTAACTTAACCTTGGCTTTTCTGCCATCCTGCCTCCCTATGTGGCTCTCACTGCCTGCTGTTTACTCTTCATTATGTTTGCCTTTGCCTCTCCTGGATCTGCTGTATCTGCATGAGTCTCCCTCATGTCTTCTCTTTCTGCCTGGAAGTCCTGCCCCTGTACTTCATGCCCCAGGTCTGGCCTTCAGCTCTTTATTATATATAAACACAAGTCTGAACCAATCAGCAGTGAGACAATGCCCAGTCAATCTAATGAGGGCTGTCTGACCTTCATCTTTTGGCCAGGTGAGGAAGGACAAGCATTTACATATAGAAAACCAGTGATGTGCCATAGAAATTATAATACCAAAATCCTGCCAGGACTTAGCTTTTGGCTCATACTGAATTGACAATTGAAAGTATAGAGACACACTTTCAAACAATGTAAGGTTACCCCAACAGGTTCCCACAGTCAGGAGTCTCATAAAAATACTAAGCTAATAGCCATAATAAATATAGAGAGGACCTGGTACAGACCCCTGTAGGCTCTGTGCTTGCTGCTTCCATGTCTGTGAGCCCATATGAGCCCTGCTTACTTGATTCATAGAAGAGTGTATTCCTGGTATCCTCTATGCCCTTTGGCTTTTACAGTCTTTCTACCTCTTCTTCTCTGAGCTCAGAGGGAAGGAATTTGATAGAGACCCTCAATTTAGACTCTACAAAATGTCTGGCAGGGGTGTGTGTGTGTGTGTGTGTGTGTGTGTGTGTGTGTGTGTGTGTGTCTTTGCATATGTTCCCATCTGCTGCCAGATGAAGCGTCTCTGACCACAGCTGGACAAGGCACTGATCTTTGAGTATAAAAGAATACCATTAGGAATAGTTTTATTGATTTGTTTGTTTGATTTAGGTGTCTGGACTGTCTAGTCTCTGGTTCTTGGTTCCCCAAGCAGTGCTGGATATGAGATCTTTCTTGTGGAGTGGGCCTTATGTCAAACCAAACATTGGTTGGCTACTCCCAAAAGTTCTGTGCCACTGTTGCCCTAGCATATTTTCCATGCAGGACAGATTATAGGTCAAAGTTTTGTGGCTGTGTTGGTGCTCACATTTCTCTTTTGGTAGCCTACAGAGTACCTCCTCACACTGAAGAGGCTAAAAAGCAGGGGTGAGGTCTCCATGTAGGAACCAGCTCAACTTCGTGTTTGTTGAGTTGTATGGGTGTTGTCCTCAGCAATGTGCTCTCCCCCCATTCCTGCTGTCAATTTGCAGAGAGCAACCTTTTGTCTTAACAATAGTCTGGGTACTTCCATGGGACCACCTTGGCCAATAGATCAATTGAATGCAATCTAATCCCACCACTGAAAGAAAGCTTTGCCTGGCTTTAAAATGTGTACATATGTATGTATATATGTATATGCATGTTTTGTCTGCATGTATGTCCATGTACCATGTGTGTGTGCAGTGCCCCAGAGCCCACAAGAGGGCATCAGATGTCCTGGAACAGGAGTTAGATAATTGTGTCCTGCCATGTTGGTCCTCTGCAAGAGCAGTCAGTACTATTAATGCTGAGCATCGATCCAGCCTCTTTTGGGGAGTCTTAAAGAGCAGTGGAGAAGGAACAGATACTGAGGAGCAGAATGACTGTTCGCCACCCTTCAGCTGTTCCTCACTGGTGAAGTCACTGATGGCCCCTCCTCTGTTAAAGAGCCTAGAAAGCTATGTGGGGAGGAGGCTTGTGGAAAGCCGATCCTGATGCCATGGCTTCAACATCCAATAAACCTCCCTTGTGGGAGCTGTGAGTACAGGAGGTCCACATCACCACAGGGCCTCCCTCTTTGGCTTACCTGAACATGTGGCCATCTCATGGAACAGACCTGGGCTTGAACTGAATTGCTTAGGATTTGTAGGTAGAGTTGAGGACTGGAATATAACTCAGTGTTAGTGTATTTGCCCAGCATGTGTGAGGTACTAAATTCAAAAGAAAGAGAGAAAGGAAGGAAGGAAGACAGGAAGGAAGGAAGGGAGGAAGACAGGAGGGAAGGAAGGAAGGAAGGAAGGAAAAGAAAGAAAGAAAGAAAGAAAGAACGAACAAGGAAACAAAGAATAAAACCACCCTGGGCTGGGGAGATAACTAAGTTTAAAAGTGCCTATCATGCAATTATGAGGACCAGAGTTCAATCCCCAGGACCTCTGTAGAAAGCCAGGCATGGTGGCACTTGCTTGTAGTCCCAGTGCTGGGGAGAAGAGATAGGAGGAGCCCTAAGGCTCTCTGGCAGAGCAGCCTAGCCTAATTAGTGAAGCCCAAGTCTCAAAGAGAGACTGTCTCGAAAGGTGGGAGAAGCTAAACAAACAAAACCCCCAAACAAAGAAAGCAACAAGAAGGGGGCTGAATGTGGTGGTGCTAGAGAGGCAGAGGCGGGCTGCTTTGTTTGAGGCCAGCCCATCTACACTGCAAGTTCCAGGCCAGCCAGGGCTACCTAGTGAGACCTTGTCTCAAGACAAAACACAAAGCAGAGGGCTTGAGGAACACCGAGGGTGCCCTCTGCTTCTCTGTCCCCTCACACCAAAGAACTGACCAAGCAAAAAGATCAGGATGCCAAGGCCTACTGACCGGGCAATAGGAGAGTCACATGACATCCGGAATGGAGAGGCTGACAGCTACATGGTTTGGCAGCTCCCCCACCCGCAGCTTGGAGTCATTAACCTGCGCCCATTAACCTGAAAGCTGTGCAAGGACTAATTCAGCAGCTCTCGCCAGAGCACAGTGCCATGCCAGAGAGCAGAAGATTCTAAATCTTTGCTTGCTGTCTGCCTTGAATCTGCTGTGACCTCTCCGAGAGTCAGTAAGCTCTTGTAAGTTTGGCTGCCCCGTTATGGCATTTGACGGCTGCCATGTTCTGGGTTCCTCTATATGTATTGGTCACAGGGAGCTAAAGGTCCCATTTGTATCTCACACTGGGCCAAGTCTACCTGCTCCAGGCCCTGGGAAAGAGTTCGGATCTAAATCCATCATCACTCCATTCCCACCCAGTCAGTTTGCTGAAGTCCTAATTAAAAAGCTACAAGGAAAGTCATTGGGAATGCCTGAATCCACCATCCTACGTGAGAACTGCACCTAGCTCAAAAAAGGATGGACATTACCAGATCCACTCAAGGAGGGACAGGAAGCAAAACTGTGATGGGAGAAAGCTCAAGCCAAGAAGGCTGAGAAATGGCATCTTGCATAGGTTTTCTCTGTCTGCAGGGATGGCAGGAGAAATAGGAAATAACCCTTCACAGAGGGCTCTTGCAGCTGTGGCCAGAGCAGTCTAGACGGGACAGTGCAGGCAGCCAGGTGCAGTTCTTTGTTTTATTTTTATTTTTAGTTTACCTCGTACCATCTCTCCCTTCCACTTTCCTTCTTCCTCCCTTCTTCTCTCCTCCTCTCTTCCTTCCTCCATTCTTCTCTCCCACCTTCTTCCTTCTTTTTTCTCTTCCTCTCTCTCTCCCTCCCTCCCTCCCTCCCTCCCTTCCTTCCTTCCTTCCTTCCTCCTTTATTTTCTTCCTTTCTTCCTCCCTCCTCCCTCCCTCTCCTTCTCCCTTCCTTCTTTTCCCCCTTTCTGGTAGTTTGGATGGAACATATGGCATGTTAGATGTCCTGGATGCTTTATATTGTCAGCTTGATACAATGAGAAGTCACCTGGGAAGAGGGAGTCTCAATTGAGGGATTCCTCAGATCAGAGTGGCCTGTGGCCTTGTCTGTAGAGAATTATCTTTATGGTCAATTGGTATAAGAGGGTCCAGTCCACTGTGCATGGTGCCACCCTTGGGCAGGTGGTTGTGGGTTGGATGAAAAAGCAGGCTGAGCAAGCCTTTGGGAGCAAGCCAATAAGCAGCACTCCTCCACGGCCCCTGCTTTAGTTACAAGCCCAGGTTCCTGAGTTGGTTTCCTGCCTGACTTCCTTCCGTGATGGACTGTTACCTGGAAGTGTAAGATGAAATAAAATCTTTCTTCCTTAAGTTGCTTTTGCTCATTATCCTAATTAAGGTTACTATTGCTGTGGTGAAACACACCGTGATCCAAAAGCAAGTTGAGGAGGAAAAGACTTGTTTAGCTTAAACTTCCATGTGGCAGTCCATCATTGAAGGAAGCCAGGACAGAAACTCAACCAGGTGAGGAACCTGGAGGTAGGAGCTGATGGAGGGGTGTTGCATAGTGGCCGCTTGTCAACTAGACACACAAGCACATCACTGTTAGGTCATAACCCTTCCTTTCCTGTTCCTCCCAAAGATTACCCATTAGTCTCAACATTAAAACACAAACATTACAAATTTTTTAAGTCCCAGCCTTTAAAAATTTAAACACTTAAAAATTCAGTCTCTTTAAAGTAGCCAGTCTCTATTAAAATCCAAAGTCTTTTAAAATTCAAAGTCTCTCAACTGTGGTCTCCTGGAAAATCTAAAGATATTAAGTTCTTACTTCAAGAGGGAAGAACAGTCACAATCAAATCAAAGCAAAACCAAACTCAAACGGTGTGGATAACTCAGCATCCAATTATTTGGGATTCACTCAGGATCTTTTGGGATCCTCCAAGGGGTTTGGGTCACTTCTCCAGCCCTGCTTTCCGGAAGGCCAGCTTGTTTTCTAAGCTCTGCCGGCTCCTCCCTCCACTTCTGCTGCTGTTCCTGGTGGGGTGTTCTACGCTGCTGGTGCCTCCAAGACTGTGAGTGCATCTTGCTGTAACTGGGCTGCACTTTCCACCAATGGCATCTCGAGGGCTCTCTTCAGGGACAAGTGACAAACCTCTGCTGCTTTCCATGATCCCTTCATGCCTTCAAAACCAGTACCACCTGGGTAACTAACTCTTACACTACCAAGTTCGACTCCCAGCATGAGGGACAATCCTGGCAGCTTCTAGAACACAGCTTCTGTGTGCTGATCCCGAGGAAATACTAAAGTGATTTCAGAAGACTTTACCTCAATGATACTCATCTCTTCTTAGTCACAATGGATTCTTCAGCCCTAGCTGACCAGAATTCATTGTCCCTGCACAGCCAAGGTTTTACTTTAGTGGTTCTGGTCTCTTGTTAATCATTGATTATTCTTCAGCCCCAACTGACTGAACCACAGAGTCTTCACATAAAAGCCCCACTGTTGTCTTCACTTCCCTCTGACACCTCACAAGCCAGGCCTTCATCTTCTGCACTGCTCTCAACAGTCTTATCTTCTAAGATCCTGCAGAACAACTCACTGAGCTCTCAACACTCATTGGATTTGCCAGTCCAAAGTTTCAAAGTATTTTCACAATCCTCCCCAAAATATCATAGTCAGGTTTGTCACAACAATACCCCACTCCTTGTACCAACTTGTCTTAATCATTGCTAATCTCTACTAGCCAACACAGTCATAGTTTTTATCATAGTCCTACCTAGGACTGCCACCATGGACCAGAGACACCTCAGCAGGAAAGGCTGTGGCCAGGGTGGGCAGGGAGCTCGGCTATGGTGGAGTGAGTGGGAAAACATGCTTAGTATTAAGACCCTCAGCCAGGCTCATAGATGGGACTCTGAAGGGTGATACCAGCACCATGTCAAGAGCATAACTTAGGTGTAGGGTCAGCAGAGCTGGGCCCAGTGCTGGCTCTAATGCTGTCGAGTGTCAAACTTGAATGTTTCTTGTCTAGCACTTAAGCTTGGGATATTGGCTGGGAAGTGGATATCCCTTCTTTGACCTTCTAGGATCCAGTGAACATTTCTCTCTCAGTCAGTCTTATGGTGATGGTCTGGGAAGAGAGCTGCATAGCCTACAGAAGAAAAGTTCCAAACACCCTCAGGTTCCTTGCTGGCTCAGCTTAAGTTGGTTAGGTTGGCTGACCAGCTATCAAGCACAGGGTACAATGTCCAACTCTATCACCAGTACCTGGGCATCCAGTGGGGGCCATGTCTCTGCCAACCCTCTCCCAAACAGTCTTCATCTCTTCCCAGGTCATAGTATTTGCCAAATAGTGCTGTGAGAAGGATTAGGAACCAGACCCTTTGAAGACGGCAGAGAGGTTGGAAAGTACAGAAGGGAGAGGCATTGGTGTCAGGAGAGATGTGAATGGATGGTGGAGATGCCAAGAACTAGTAACCATGTTCAAGAAGCATGAGGTGGGGAGGTAGCAGAGACAGAAAACCAGCTTGTGTCTCTGAGATGAGGATCATAGGAAAGGTCAAGGTCTTCTCTGCAGAGGGCATGCAACCCCCTTGGCTGCTCTCATTGGTGCAAGGCAGGTAGCAGATCCAACTTCAGAGCCCCAAAGGCAGATAACCCCTGGCCACATAGATTTAGCAAAGTCATCCCTAGAATGCCTACACTTGTCTTTAATCTCACAGACCAGCTCGTGATGGTGATCGTTCTAACATGTGGCTTCATCCTGAACAAGGGCCTGGTGTTCTCAGTCCTGTTTGTTTTTCTCTGCAAAGCTGGGCCTAAGGTAAATGGGACAGGCTAAGAACAAGGTAGATCAAAATGATCCCCAAAAGGCCTCAGAACCTGTCCATTGGATGTCCCTTTCAGAGGGGTTTGTGGTCAAGAGTGATCCCTGGGCATACTGCAAGGCATAGGCCAAGATCCTCGGAGCCTTGTTCTTAATGGGTTTCCCTTGGCTAGGAAGACCCCAAGGGTTCGGACTGTGGGGTGGGCCACCCTGGCTTTCCTTCAGAGAAGGGAGGTTTGACTCAAGCCTGGGCTCTCTGGGCTAGTCATATCTTTTTTGGTTTTGTTTGTTTTGTGACAGGGTCTCATTGTGTAGCCCTAGAACTCACAGAGATCCATCCACCTCTGCCTACTGATGTCTGTCATTAAAGGTGTACACCAACAGGCCCTGACTCAAGCTGGTAGTTTCTAAAGCCTTTCCGTTCCTTTCCCTGCACAGGTGTCACAGCTTTCCAAGACGTCCGAAGTACAGGGAGTCTCTGAGAAACAGTAGCCTTCCTTCTATGAGCTGTGAGCACACCTACCCTCCTCTATTTGTTCTGTGTTGGGACAATCAGAGCCTTTATACATTCTCTTCCTGAGTGCTGCTCAGCCCCTGCTACCCAAGAGGACAGCTCTGAGGAGGGTGGGATTGGAAGGAGCCTCAGTGGAGTTAATGAAACTGCAAGAGATTTGGGCCTTTGATAGAGCAGTCAAATGGGACTCACAGAGAATTCTCAGAAACTTGTCCCCATTACCCTCCTGCTAGCCAGTCCCACCCTGATGTGGACTGGTAAAGCCTATATGACAGAACCAATCTCTCTGATAATTAAAAAAAAATATATATTTCCATGCGGTTTTCGAGTTCCCATACCCCTCCTGGGATGGTGAATGTCAGCTGTCACTTGGTGGAGCATAAGATCCCCTTGAAGGCAAGCCTCCAGGCATATCTGTGAGGGGTTGTCTAGCCTGAGGTTAGGTCCTTAGGATGTCTGTAAAAGATCATCTTGTCTATGTTAATTGATGTGGCACCAGTGAGTGAGGTGTTGCTGTGACAGGCCTGACCAGGATGTGCTATGCCCAAGTCTCACAGACCCCAAAGACCACCAAGGAGCTGATTCTGATACAAATGCAGTAGGGTCTTTATCACAAGCTCGAGCTCAGGCCTACATCGTCACCAACACAGAGGTTCTTGAGTGTAGAGCCCTGAGCTCAGAGAGAAAGGGGTTTTTATTTAGGGGTATATCGAAGTTCAGGAAATTAAAGCCTGGCAGTTCTATGATTGATTGTTTGCCCAGATTGCCAAACCATAATTGTTTTACTCAACCTATTGAAAAGAACATCTGGGCAAACTCCAGGTATTCACTAGTTATCCATTGCTAGGGGTGATGGTTAAATACTACCAGGGGTGAGTGGTCAAAGCACATTTTTTGTGGGTTTTTTTTCAGGCTATTCCTTGGGTAGGGAACTTTATTGTCTTGTTCCTGAAGTTGGTGACTTATGACCTAGTTCCTGGGACTGGTGACTTTTGGGGGAAGGAGGTCAGGCCTGGTTCTCTCAGATGTTTGTTGGAAGACTTTGGACTAGAAAAGCAGTTGGATACTTTAAATGTGGCTTAATGGAAAAACCTAATAGGATCATGGAAAACAGTGCTGAGGGTCACTGGAACTGTGGTGCCATAACTAAAAAATTATAGAGGGGAAAAGTATTAGTAAGTGGCCTAGAGACCTTTCTTGTGAGGTTTTAGCAAAGAATGTGGCTGCCTTTTCCCTTGCTCTAAAAATCTGCCTGGGTAACATTGAAGACCTTCAGACTAATGGTACTGGCAGAGGAGATTTCAAGACAGCCTAGTATTGACTGTGCAGGCTGGTTATTAGTGGTCACTGTTATACAGATCTATAGTGAAAAGGAGTAAGCTGGACCAAGAAAAATACGAAGTGTATTGTTTGGAGAAAATAAAAAGGAGAGCCAAGAAGTGTAACTGAGCTAAGTTCAGTGCTTAAGGAGATAAAAAAAAAATTAAAGAAATCCAGTTGTGGCGAGACATTTTTTTAGTCCTAGCTCTCAGGAGCCAGAGTCAGGCAGACCTCTGATTCTGAGGCCACTCTGTTCTACAGGGCCAGTTTTAGGACAGCCAGGACTACACAGAGAAACCCTATATCTAAAACAACAAATGTGTAAAGAAAAGCCTGCTCTTAAGTGGGATAAAGGAGTGGTGATTTCAGGGTAAGAACCTAGTCAGCTTTCAACTTGTGAAAAGGAATTTAAAAAAAAAATCTTAAGCAGTGAAGGAAACCATCAACAGAAACCTAATGCAGATGTCATTGAATGAGGGGACTATGTTACAGCCATATCATGCAGCAGAACTTGACAGTTTTCAGACAAAAGTTTCTTCTGGCTTTAGAGTCAAGGATACAAAAAAAAAGGTTATAGAATCTTCCTCGTTAGCTAAGGAAAGATGCTGAAGCCAGGTGTGTGTCGGGGGTATCTCTGAATAGATGCCCAGTTAAGTGATGCTGTGAAGTAAAGCCTGGATTGTGTTGGAGATCCCAAAATGTTGACGATGCCAGAGTTATGGCATACCTGCCAAGGAAAATGCTGACAAGGAGTGGAATCAGCCCAAGAGAGAACTATGTTTCAGTCAGCAAAGCTGAAAAGAGTTGGAGATCTGAAGAGCACTTTGATCTCAGACATGAAGATACAGACTATGGAGTTTGTCCAGCTGGTTTTTGGTCTTGCTTTGGTCCAGAATGTCCTTATTATGCTCCTTTCCCACCATTTTGGAATGATAATGTATATCTTGTGCCATTGTACTTTGAAAGTATGTGATTTGCTTTGTAATTTTTATTTTACAGGGGATTACAGTAAGAGATTGCCATTCGTCTCAGAAAAGACTTTGAACTTTGGACTTTGAAACAATATTGAGATTCTGATAGCCTATGGGGACTTTTGAAGTTGGACTGAAAGCATTTCTGCATTATGACCTGGCTACAGGTCTACAGGGCCCAGGAAGTGAAAAGTGGAGGTCTAAATAAAAATGGTCCTCATTGGCTCATGAATTCGAATGCCTAGTCCTCAAGAAGTGACACTATTTGAGAAGGATTAGAAGGTGTGGCCTTGCTGGAGGAAATGTGTTCCTGGGGGTGAACTTTGAGGTTCCAAAAGCTCACACCGGGCCCAGTCTCTCTCTTTCTCTCTCTCTGCCTATGGATCAGGATGTAGGTCTTAGCTACTACACTGCCATGCCTGCCTGCTGCCCTGCTCCCCGCCATGATGATAATGGACTCAGCCTCTGAAACTGTCAGCCAGCCCTCAATTAAATGCTTTCCTTTATAAGAGTCGCCTTGATCATGTATAGAACAGTGGCTAATACATGTAGGAATACACATTAAAATTAGATTTAAAATCTACAGTGCATGGATGTTTTGCGTGGCTGTGCATGTCTATGCACTGTGTGTGCAGTTCCCACGGAGGCCAGAAGAGGGCCTCAGATCTCCTGGTACTAAAGCTACAGATCATCCTGAGTGTCCATGTGGGTGCTGGGAACCTAACCCAGGTCCTATGGAAAAGCAGCCAGTGCTCTTAACCACTGAGCCATCTCACCAGCCCCCGAACACCACCTCAACTGTGAGATGATGACTCTCTAGGCAGGGGACTCTGGACTGTGGAAAATGGAAAAAGTGAGCTGAACACTAGAAGACATGCATTTGTTGCTTTCTGCTTTAGCTGCTTCAAGCTTCTGCTGCCTTAACTTCCCCAGTTCAGTAGGCTACATTCTCAAACTCTGAGCCCAAGTCAATGTTTTCTTCCTTAAATTGTGAGAGAGTCTGGCCAAATAAGTCTGACCAACTCCAGGACAGGCTTCATTTTCTTGCTAGATAGAACGGGACTAAGAGTTACAGGAAAAACCACAAAAAAGGGGCAGCTAATCTGAAATGGCCAAGACATCTGGCCTGGGGAAGATCGTTGCTTAACTGCCAGTTTGAATGCACTGAAGTCCTGACCAGTGGGCACCAGCCAATCCCAATCGAGGTTATATAGCCACAATAGGAATTCCCCTCTCTGGCTTTAAAGGGGGCCTTCAACTCCCCTTGCAGCTGCAGCCATGTCATGAGGATGGTGGCCCCAGCATGCTGGACTTCTGCAGAGTGAAAGCTCTTTGTTGCTTGCATGCTACTTGAGTCTGGGGTCATTCTTTCCACGTATTCCGAACCCTAACAATTGCTTTGTCAGCATGTTTTGTTACAGAAATGAAAAGTAGCAAATGAATTCCCCTCCCTGCCTTTCCCCAGGCACCGTTCTTCCCCTCACAGCACTCTGTCCCTCCAGAACAGTGTGTTTGCTACACCGGATGAGCTCACAGAGACGTCACTATCAGCTGAGACCAGCTTCTTTAGGTCTTTAGCATGACTCTGGGTGTCATTCTCTCTGTGGATACTTGCCGGAGACCAAGAATCCCAGGCACGTAGTCACGACGAATGCTGGTGCCAGAGGCTGCAGTTAGCTTTGACCACCTAGATAGATTGCTTCCTGAGACCGGGAACCACCCCCCACCTGATTCCCCCACCTGATTCCCCCACCTGACCGGTTTTAACAGTTAATGTTAAAACCTTGATGAATCACAAGATAGCCTCCCGCCCTTCTCCCTCCAATTTTTTACTTCCTTATTCTTTGAGCTTAAAAGTAAAGCTTTGCCCCATAATAAACCGGATTTTGACAAGGAAAACTGCTTGGTCCCGTTCTTCTCTCTTGCCCGTTTTTCTTTCAGGCTTGGCCCTCTTCGAAGACCCCACGAATTACCAGTCCTGAAGGTGGATACAGGTGATGCCCAATGTGGATTGGAAGCGAGGACAACTGCCGGATGGAGGTCTTCATGAATTGATCCGGATCGCTCAGAAATCGCCGCGACGAACCGAAAGTAAGATCGGCCGCTAGCGACTCGTAAAGACCTATGTATGTTCCTGCCACTCATGGGAAAAAGATACGTTGGGTAAGTCTTTCTCCATCCCATAAAAATGGGCCAACAGTTGTCTAAGGAGGCTGTATTCATGACCTCAAGACATCGCTCAGAGAGAGAGGAATTAGAGTTAAGTAAAAGGATTTAATTAAGTTCTTTGTTTTTGTGTCAGACATTTGTCCATGGTTTGCTATTGATGGGCCAGAGATATGCCAAAAAGTGGGATCAGGTTGGAGCCTACCCTCTCGAGGACCTTAGAGAAAGAGGCCCTCTGGCCGAGATAAAGATAATAATTATCCCCCCATTATTGCTGCTAATTCCCTAGCTTTCCCTTTCTTTTCCTAAAGAAAGCCCTGACCAATTAGAACCCTCGGAGGAAGGCGATCTGGAGGAAGAGGCTGCCAGGTACCGTAACCCTGATTGGCTGCCTACACTTGGCAGTGCAAGCAAATGTTAAGAGATAGTACAGAAAAAAGAGCTGGTACCAGAAAGCCTCCTAAAGAAGAGATAGACCTCATCTCATTAGAAAGTGAGGATGAAACAGAGTCAGGGGAAGA